ATTTCTCTAATGAAGAAGAAACAATGGCACCTGCTCTAGGCTACACATTTCACTAGAAGCTGAACAAGCTAAGCAAGCTAGACCTTTCAGCATTATCCTTAGTGCTGCCCGTGAATGTTCCAGGTTTCTTAATAAAATGTATCTTTGAGAAGCTGTCTCTAAATGTGCCAGAAATCCATGAATTCTATCACCTAGTGCTATAACTAACAATTTTTTTTTACTTTAAATACGTCTATTTATGGTTACATAACTTCTGTTTATTGAACATCCACAATGAGATATTCATGTGAACCCTTGAAAGTATATAGAAATAAATAATATATGACCCCTACTTTAAACAGTAGCTTGCAATTTAGACTGCATTAAAGATGTAAAACTCAAAAACAAATAAAACAGGGAACAAAAAGAAAAGTGATTGGAAAGTAAACAAATTGAATTGCTGATGAAATGGATACCTTTGGCTTCCCAGCTGGCACACTGCACCAAGGAGCATAAAAAGTGAAAGGTCTTGAGCCACTCAATTTTACTGCACCAAACACTATCATTCGTAATGACACGTCTGAATTGATTGTCTAAAATCAATATGTGACCAAGTGCCCAATCCTCAGTATGGGCCTTTTCTTTGAAATTTTAAAGAGAAGAAAACTGTTTCTCTATTAATATTTATAATCTAATTAAACCCAGCGTTTATAGAACATCCATATAAAACCACCTCAAGTTGCATATGACCATGGGAGGAGCATCAACTGAATATAACCTTGGCTAAGTATATCTACCTTGTTGCATTTGTCTATACTTTAATACTTCAATTTTTAATTTTTGTAGCCTAAATGAGGTATATCTCAAAGGAGTTATATTTTTGTTGATCTTTTAGCATTATCTTTAAATCTATATTATAAAATGAGCTGAATTAAATTTTTCCTTAATATTTGAGGCTACTTTGTTTAGATGGTGCTGTTGCTGAATGTGATGGGACCAATAGCTGACATTTAACTTGGCTGTGCTATGCACGGCTGTAAATTATTCCTTCTTGAAACAAAATTATCTGTGAGAAAGGGGAATATTTATAGCATTCACCAGAGAGAACCAATGTGTGTTTTCACAAAATAACTTATAAAATTTTTAATAAAATAACTTGTTAAACATTTTTTAATTATTTTATTTATATATTCCAAATGTCCCCCCCTTCCTGGTCCCCCACCATGAGTTTTTCACCCCATCTCCCTTCCCTTTGCTTCTGAGAGGGTACTCCCTCACCCACTCCTGCCTCGCCCCACTAGCATTCTCCTTCCAGGGGTATCAAGATTCTACAGGATTAAGGGCATTCTTTCCCACTGAGACCAAACAAGCCAGTTCTCTGCTGGGGCCATGGACCAGTCCATGTATGCTCTTTGGTTAGGAGCTCTGAGTAGTTCTGGTTAGTTGATACTGTTGTTCTTCCTATGACGTTGCAATCCCCTTCAGCTTCTTTAGAATTCATAATAATTCAAATAATCAGAATTCAAATCCAAATAGTTCCCAATTTAGCCAAGTGCTAACAGTAAAACTCAACATAGCTATTTGAAAAACGGTCATTTTTCTTTAATTTTTTATAGTTTGAAACTAAAATATAATTACCAAAAGCTTCAGTTCTAGAATGCCTTCTTTTGACCTCTGATTCATTAAGAGCACTTGCATACACACTTACATATAGGAAAAACAGTCACATACGTAAAATAAATATCTAAAAAAGTTTAATAAACTGTTACATCATTAGCTCCCTTTCCTTTACTACCTCCAACCCCCTCCCATGTAGGAGTAGTTCCTTATTCTCTTTCAAATTTATGTCCTCTATTTCTTTAATTGCTGATATATTTTTTACTCATAAATATAGAAGTACAACATACTCAGAGTAGAATATATATATATATATATAATTCTTTCTCACTGAGGCCAAACAAGCGTGTGTGTGTGTGTGTGTGTGTGTGTGTGTGTGTGTGTGTATGTTTCAGACTGACCAACCACTTGGTACTGTATAACCCACGGTGAAGTTCTTCCCTTGGGAAGGTTTTACCTCCTGTTCTCACCATTCTTTAGTTGCCTACAGTTCTTTTTATAGAGTTATGGCATTGTGAGATTTTCCCTCTTTCATATTAGCATATCTATTGATATAGTCCTTGTTTAGATCATGGTCCTTAGAGGCACTGTGTTGTTTAGATTTCATGAGTGTTGCTCTTCTATCATGTCTAGGAAACAATCACAAACTGTTCCCCTGGCTTATAATCTTTCTCCCCCTCCTATTCAATGTTCTCTGGATCTTTGGTACAGTGTTACAGATGGATCAATTGTTGCTGGGCATGAGAGCATGACATGTCATTTGCCTTTTGATGAGTTGTAGCTTTCTGTAAGGGCCTACCTGTTTCAAAGAGGGTTGCTTTTGTTTGTTTGTTTGTTTGGTTGGTTGGTTGGTTGGTTGGTTGGTTTTTGTTGGTTTTTTTGTGGGGGGGAGATAAGGGGTGAAAGTTACACTTATTTGATTGTATAAGGATAAATATTTAGAATGCTAATAGGGCTTATGGTTAGGTATTATGCGAGTATAGGAAAGTGGTAGTTGTAGATACTCTTAGATCCGTGCTGTTACTAGTCCTGGGTGCTTTGCTAGGTTTCCAGGACCAGGCGTTATTTCCCTCTTGTTGGAAGGATCTGAAGTACAATTAGAGAGCTGTTGGTTACCTCTAAAATACATATGCTCCTATTACACCCTGAGGGTAATAGTGGCATGCTAGTTGGAGCTGCAGGTCATAGGCCTTAGAACCTCTGGGTCCTGTGTCCAAAATGCATGGTGGAAGAAGTTCACATTTAAGTGCATTATATTGAGAGATTTGATTTAGGGAGTAAATTATCACCTTTGCTGATTTTAATACTGCTAAATGTTGAGATAATTAAAGGTATAGAAGAAAAATATTAATTGGCATATCTAACTTATATTTACTTTATTTACTCTGTGTGTGTGTTTGTGCGTGTGTCTCTGTGTGCACATATGTGTGTGTGCATATGTGCCGCACAGGAGATTAGAGAGAAACTTTCATGAGTTAGCTCTCAGCTGCTGCAAATAAAATTCAGGTCTGTGGGCTTAGGAAACAAGTATTTTTACACATTTATCTATCTTTCAACTCATATGTTTATTTCTTAAATGATATAAGAGACAAGATATAAAAGATCTTTGAATATGAGAATTAATTTTTATGTGGTTTGTATGTGTGTGTGTGTGATATGTGTTATTCGCAAGTGTGCACCCATATGTGTGCATCTGTGCTCATGTAAGCTAAAGGTTACAGTGAAGTATCTTTTGGCATTGCTCTCTGAATCTCTCACTGAACTGTCCGTAGCTCACTGATTTAGCTAGGCTTTTTAGCCAGCATGCCCTAAAGGTCCTGTGATCATCCTTTAGCACTGAGGTTACAGGGGCACGTTGTACCACCTAGTTCTTACGTGAGTACTGGGGAGTTGAATTGATGTCATTATACTTGAACGACAGGCACTTTGCTCATAGAGCAGTCTCCACAGCCACAGACATCGGAATTTTAACCACTATACCAAGAATTTAAAACATCTTCATATTTCTTCAGAACATTTAAACTGTCCTCAAATCAAATCATTTTTGATTTGAGGTGGAATATGATTAGATTCAGTTGTGAAAACATGCAGAAATTTTAGTGCATTTTCTGTTAGTTTCCAAGCTTGACTTCCTTGCAAAATTTAAATATTAGTACCAGAAAATTGAACAATCATTTTTATAGCCAGTGCTATACATTCATATTGACAAATAACGTCTCTATACACGCCCACATCTGTCCAAGTCTCATGCTTTTTTCAAGCAGTTTAGAGAGTTTTCCAAGTCTTTAATGTTCACCATTTATTTTAACAAAGCGTCTATTATGACATCTTTTGTCTATGTACTGGATTGTGAGAGTGTTCCTACCACACCAGGGAGCATATATCCTGCTAACTTTTTAGCCCAGTTTAACACCAAAGCTGAGTATAGTGTGAACACAAGTAAAAACCACATAGCACCTATTAACAAATTGCACCAAATGTCATCGTATGTCTCAATCTTCATTGTCTATTAACATCCATTCCTGAATATTTCTCCTTCTAAACATGCTATGGATTTGAATCCTCTCAAAGATTTTTAGAAGGAAAAATATGATACTGTGTGTGTGTGTGTGTGTGTGTGTGTGTGTGTGTTAACAAATAAAGAAAAAAAGGTCACAAATCTCAAAGAGTAAAGCAGTGTACATGAGAAGTTGAAACATGGAAAGGGAAGAAAGAAATGATGTAATTATATTACAATCTCAAAAATTATCTTAAAAAGGAAGTGAGAAAAATACTGTCATGTTTCTATGGTAAACATTTTACTTACTATTAATGCCAGCTCTCAATTGAACAAAGATTTCCTCACAGTAATCTGGCTCAAGAGGCATCCCCCAAAAATACACAAAAAAGTATGTTTGTATGAAAAAAGAAGTATGTTTTCAATTTATCAAACTAGAAAAAGTGCAGAGATCCTATCAAAAGGGTTTGTCTGCAAGCTTGACTCTGATTGGTACTAACATACTAAATCACACAGCAGAAGCTAGCAATCCTGTAGAGCCTCTTGAGGAGCTGAAGTCTTCCTTTTAATACCATCTGGAGTTATAGACTGTCTCTTAGTAAATAGAACTTTTATGTCCTGTAAAAATAAAACACTTACGTTATCATTGTGATTTCCATAAACGGAGTCAATGTGGCTGAGTAATGAGTGTATCCATTTTCACTTCTCTATGTGGGAGAACAGTTTTATTTTATATTCAGATCCTGACAAATTAAAATTAATTGCATCTTCTTCAGAATATTCTTTAAAAGTCAATTTTCTTAATCTCTGCTATGAATATCTTTTCTGAAGCTGCGTTTATTAAAGTTTGTATTTTAGCTGTGTTTCAGATAAAGTTGTTTCTTTTTCTCTCTCCTTCCAATTGCAGTGTGGAGACGATCAACGATGGAAACTTCCACATTGTGGAACTACTGACCCTGGACACAAGTCTTTCCCTCTCTGTGGATGGAGGAAGCCCTAAAATCATCACCAATTTGTCAAAACAATCTACTCTGAATTTTGACTCTCCACTTTATGTAGGAGGTAAACTTCCTTCCAAATACAGTGGTCTTCCAATTCTGTGCTTCTCATTATAGATCAGTTCTGAAGTTACTGGTGTCCCATGCCATGTTTGTTGACACTAATCTGTCACTGTAATTGACCAAAAAGCATAAGACAGGAAGAGATGGACGTGTCTGTTTAAGAATTATTTGGTCATCCTGGTTCTGGGTCTAATTCAGTGTATTGCCAGGTCAGTGAAGGACATTAGTTCTTGATCTATGATATGCTAGCTAGGTAATTTTTATATAGTGTCATTAATTGTATATCTGCCTACAGAAGCCAGAAAATTGGTTAGAGATCAAGTTGGAAACTGATAAAATAATATTGAGGAAACAACTCAGTGTATAAAATGCTCAAGAACCTAGATAATTACACAGAACCCCTGTAAAATAGCAGGCATTGTAGTATGCTATTATATGTGGTACAATCTCAGTTCCGGGGCGGTTCACAAACACACCCCTAGTGTCACTGATTCCTAGGGATCTGTTTGTCTACCTAGCCTACCTATGAGATCTAGGAAAATAAAAGAACCTGTTTCAAAAGAAAAATTGCAGGTATCCTCAAGAAGGATACCAGAAGTTTCATTTTAGTCTCTATACACACACATGCGCATGTGTATTCATGCACCTGAACACATGCACACATGCACACATGCGTGCACACCCACCAACACAATGATTAATCAAGTAGGGTGCAAAGTAGGAAGGAGTCTGCAACCCAGTTCTCTTACGGAGGCAAACCATATCAGCTCAGCCCAATGTTGCCATACTGATATTTCTGATTCAAATCTACCAATGCTTATGGGATGTCTACTATAGCCTGAGAACCAAGTTGATGGATGATTAATATCACAAAGCTGAAAAATAAATGTCCATGCTGACCCCAGAGACATAAAGCATGCAGGCTCATATCCAAATCACTGATGTGTCCTTACAAGTAAATTACTACAGATTGACTATCTCAGCAACATGGCTCACTTTGTTGCTTCACAGGAATTACCTGTATGACTATTATGAGACTTTTGTAATTATATCTTTGAAAACTTCTACACAATCTGTTCTGATTGTATTCATCCCTCCTTCTACCTCTCCTATTTCCCCCTTTCCTAGCTACCTGTGTAGATTTCCCAGCTAAATCTGTTGTCTTGTTCTCAATATTTTTATTGTTTATTAGGAAATTTCACATCATGAATCCCCTGCACCCTCACTTCCCAGTTCTCCCAGATGCCCACCCACCCACCCACCCACCCCCTCTGGACCTTTTTGTTTATTTTGTTTTGTTGTTTGTTTTTTTTTTCTTCTGTGTCTTTAAAAAAATGAAAGCAAACAAAACAACAACCACAAAAATAAGACCTGCCTGTGCTGCCTATAATATAATGTGTGCCTATAATATAAATGTGTGGCCTTCTACCAGAGCTTGCTCAACTTACAAGGAGTATCACTCTTAAAACTACCCTCTCCCAGTTGCTAATTTGTCAAGATCCCCTAGGCTATGGGTGGGACTTTGCATTACCTTCCCTCTCCAATCTGGGATTGGCTCTGCTTAAAGCCTTTGTTTCCATCTATTCCCCAGTTAACAGAGTCGCCTTGTAGTGTATAAAGCCAGTCCTGAGTGTTAACGATGGTGTAAAGGGATGAGTTGTATTTGTTAAGCATTGTATAACTAACGTAGCACTTCCTTTTTTTTTTCCAATAATGTTCTTATTTATATGGCACTGCTTTTAGCAGCTTAGCCTTTCGTCTTCAGAGAAAATTGAAGTAAAACTAGAAGGTAAACATTATTTCCTCTATTTCATAGTCCCAAAGGTGCAGCCTCAAGAAGTTAATAAAGCTTTTTGAAGTGTGGCAACCTAAATTGTGGTAGGTAGGCGTAACATCTAAGTCCTGGTCTTTCTATACCAAAACTACCTACACTGGCATTTAACTTTTTAACAAAGATCAGAAAACCAAATGGCTTCAGCGATGTGGCTTTTCTTTACTTCTGAATTTGTCCTTGACTTGAATTTATGGTGCTTTTATTCAAAAATATTTCAGTCGATCCTTTTAGACCCTTTTATAATATGGTACTCAGTTTAAAAATCCAGATGAAATCATTTAAGATGGAACATTATTTTTAAAAGGGAAAAACATTTAAACTCCCAAATCAAAAGTGCTAATCCTTCTGAGGCTAGGGGTTTTGGAAGAATCCCGAAGCACCTCTGCATGTTCAACCCTATGGGAAACCATCTCAGTCTCAGCCATAACTCCCAAAGAATACAGCGAGCCCAGTTGCCTTTCTTCCCAGATTGTGGTCTCTGGGGTGGCTGAGATTTTAAAATACAAAGAGCCCATAAGACCACAGCCTGACTGTCACATGGCAGAGGCAAATGGAACTGAGTCAACAAAAGGGAAGCGAGGGAAGCCTAGTTAAAACCATAGCTGTCCCAAGGAGCACTGTACTAGACATCCTAGACCTTGGTTCATGGCAGAAGCAGTCTCTGGAAATGCAGACTGGTGGTGCAGCTATATGTGTTCTTGTATTATTGACTATTCACAGTTCAACCAGAACACTTATTGCTTAACTGTCAGAGGGAAGTAAGACTACAGATATAGTTGTCTAGGCACATTTTACAAAAATTGTGTCACTTTTGGGCAAAAGATTTTAATGATAATCTACCCATTACACTCATTTTAAAACATAGACTGTAAAGGCTTTTTAAAAAAAAAAAAGTCCACTTACTAAGTTATTTACTAAGTGATTGGTGGATTAATTTACTTCCAACTAAAGTTCAGGAAAGTCATAAAAAACAAAATCATGAATTACCATATATGGAAGGCAATATTCATCTGTAATCTAAGCACTCAGGAGACTGAAGCAATGGTATTTATGATTCCAGGACATCTTCGGCTGTACAGTAAATTAGTGTTCCAAAGGGAAAAAAAATACAGATCTCCTTCTGTTTATCAGCTAAGAACTAGCACTTGAACCAAACATATAAAGATCTGACCCAGAATAGTTCTTGGTTAAAGGGATAATTCAGGATAGAACATGTGATTGGTACATGAGGTATTTGGGTCAATCCCTAGGTCCAAAAATTAATCAAGAATAGGTTTTGATTTTACGTGCTATTGAAAATTGAGTCTGTGCATGGGATGTAGATCTGTTGTTTTATGCAGATTTTTATCATCAAAACTGCACCCTCTGTAGCTGTAAGCTTTGGGACTAAATGACACAAGTCTACTCGTTGCTTCTCACTGCTGAGGGACTTTGCCAATCTCAATTTGATCTTAATGTGTGCTCATATAAACACTGTACCTCCACCGAAATGAGCTATTAAAATAGTGTTGGAACAAGTTCATTTTTAACTGTTTTAAGAAATGACCTAAAAAGAAGGTCATTAAATTCCACATGTTTGTGATGGATGAACATGATTTAGAAAGTCTTAGACTTACTCCACAGGAGAGAATTTCCTGTCTCTGGTACTCCCCTGGAAATGGTCAGTTGTGTGCTTTGATCTTAAATGTAATAACATGTTCTCCAAGGCCAGACATATGCCAAGTAAATGCCTTTATTGATAGAATTTTTAAATTAAAGACAATCTGGTGTCTCTTCCAGAGTGGTCAAAGGGCCTCCTGTATTAGAGTCACCTGCCATTTAGAATTCTATACCTGTCCTTTTCCACCTAAGATCAGTATCTCGGGATGGGGAGAGACAGGAAACTGTTCTTTTATCATATATTTTTGATAGGACTTAGGTATGAGAAGTTGATAAGCAACTGATCTGCTCTTCTCGGAAGAGATAAGGCAACTAAGACCCAGAGCAGGAAAGTGAATGGCCAGGATATACTCTGGTTGTAACTTTTCTCATTGCAGTGATAATAAACAAACAAACAACCCCGAGGGAGGGAGGGTCTATTCTATCTTACAGTTTGAGAGCACAGTCTGTCTTAGCAGGGGAGTGGTGAAAGCCTGAGGCAGCTGCGTACATTTTAGCAGTCAGTAAGCATTTAGCCTAAGATCCAAGCCCAGGGTTCTGGAACACTCACATTCAAAATATGTCTTTCTTGTTGTGTTAAACCGTTCAGAATATACCCTGAGGTGTATTTGCCTGTGAGGAATATTTAGCTTTTGGGCATGAGAGTGAGGAATTATGTTGATCAAGTTCATTGATGTGGGAAGACCCATTGTAAGAATGGCTTTATTCCCTGGATGGGGATCCAGGACTCTAACATGGATAACGTGAGCTGAGCAATAGCTCAGCCTTACGATTGCGAATGTGATGTGACCAGCTGCTTCAACCTGCTGTGCCCTTAACTTTGTTGCCAGGATGAATACTCTTGAACTGGAGGTTGAACTAACCCTTTCTCTCTCAACTTCCCTTTGTTGGGTGTATTTTACAACAGTGTCAGGAACTCTGATCCACAGCAATTCTACATCATGTCAACTTGATAATGAAGTTTAACCATGAAACACTCAACCAGTATTAGAGATTTGACCTCTAGACTAGTGGCCTTGTATGCTTACATGCTTGATTTGGAGCCTGTTAAGACTAGGGTAGGGCTCTTTGCCTAGGGAAGGGAATGGTGGCACTAAGCAAGGACCATAGAAGGCAGTGTTCCTCTAGAAAGTGAAGCCCAGCCTATAACCACTGAAGTCTGCCCAGCCTGTAAGCCCAAGCAGTAGCTCAGAGAGCCAGCACAGTTGAAGCATGAGCACTGGGGGGTTGGAGGGCTATAAGTCATTGGCTCAGAGGCTTCCAACTCCGTGCTTTCTCCTTACCCAATATCCTATAAGGTCCTCTGTGTAAAGTGCTGTCAGGGAACTATTTCAGGGTCTGGATCGGGCCATGGAAAGATTCCTCAGCTTTGCCAAAATAGCAGTTACAAGTCACTTCTGGTATACATATGTCCCAAGATTGCAAATACTGTTTGTGATGGAACTTATTCTGTATTTTTTTTTTAATTTTCTAACAAGAAAGTTTCAATAGAAGTAGCAAGGAAAAAAAAAAAAACATGGTAGGAATGAGGTACTATCCTGATAAGAAGCAAAAATGAACTTAAGGTGACAAGTTAATTGCTAAGTTAGGATTTGGCAGGGATTCAGTGGGTTACTGTGAGCCCCAGCTCCCTCTGTCTCTCTCAGACTCTTGGTTGACTGATCCTGGGCTCCAGCATTAAGCAGATTGTGCAGTCAGGAAAATGCTGACTTGTGTGAAATGGAACCTGTGGCTCAAGCTCTTTAGGATCTGTCCTTTAACTTAATTAGAGAAAGAATTAATCAGAGAGTTATAAACTGTGGCTTCTCTGTGTTCATGTTGTCTGGTATAGACCCATAGGGAAAAGAACAATAATGTTGACATCTAGTTTTTACTTTGAGTAGACCTTCTTGAAGATTATATATTCATATATATATATATATATATATATATATATATATATTATCTTTGAAACAAATTTGCACATTAAAAACTGACCACCAATATTAGCTAGGTTTATTTTAGTTAAAAGTTAGAGTAACCTACTGCATCAAAACAATATGCCCAAGTATTTTTTACCTCATCTGAGCATACATATCCCAATTTAATAAAGATGGGCTGATGAATCTCAGTATTTCTCAGGAGCGAGTGACTGAGGAGCACATCCAGTCTCTTTAACTGTCATGCTGTTTCTTCCTAGGCATGCCTGGGAAAAATAACGTGGCATCACTGCGCCAGGCCCCTGGGCAAAATGGCACCAGCTTCCACGGCTGTATCCGGAACCTTTACATTAATAGTGAGCTGCAGGACTTCCGGAAAGTGCCTATGCAAACCGGAATTCTGCCCGGCTGTGAGCCATGCCACAAGAAAGTATGTGCCCACGGCACATGCCAGCCCAGCAGCCAATCAGGCTTCACTTGTGAATGTGAGGAAGGGTGGATGGGACCCCTCTGTGACCAGAGAACCAATGATCCCTGCCTCGGAAACAAGTGAGTTCCAATTGCTTGGTACTGAGTACATATGCTAGATTCTCAAAGTATCGTCTAAGAGAAGGCAAGAGTTGGGCGGGATGGGAGATGGAGGAGAAATCAGCACATTAGCATTCTGTTCTCGGTATTCAGACATGTGCTTGCCTAACCACCATACCTTCTGACATCCTCTACCAACGGTGTTTACGTTCCTCTGTTTCTCCTCCCCTGAAGATGTGTACATGGGACCTGCTTGCCCATCAATGCCTTCTCCTACAGCTGTAAGTGCCTGGAGGGCCATGGGGGCGTCCTCTGTGATGAAGAAGAAGATCTGTTTAGCCCCTGCCAGATGATCAAGTGCAAGCATGGGAAGTGCAGGCTCTCTGGACTCGGGCAGCCCTATTGTGAGTGCAGCAGTGGATTCACAGGGGACAGCTGTGATAGAGGTGAGCTAGACACTTCCTTTTCTGCACAGAACAGAGGGACCTGCTTATCCCTGGTGAAAGAGATAGACAAATGGATCGAAGAATCACTGGGACTTTGTGTGGATTGTCACTACTTGCAAAAACTAATGTGCAGGGCACTAAATTCCCCACCATAAGGTTTTCCATGGCTATCAGACATCTTATCACAACTTGATTTGCTATGGAAAGTCTCCTTTTCTATTCTTCAGAGAACAGCAACCCAACTCACCTTAAGCCTCTATCTGGTCTCTTGACCCACGTATATACTTAATCTAACTTTGGGCATAGCAAGACTATGGAGGTGGTAAATCTGCTCTTGTTTGAGTACAAAATCATCTTCGGTCTTAGAATAGACTGATTTATCACAGTAAATTATGCAGGTGAGAGGGATAGAAACAGCCAGAGTTTTCAGACCACCTCTCCCTGCTTTGTTTCCAAGATCAGAACTTGCCTGGCCTCCAGCTGGCACCGACTTTGGTGCATCAGACAAATAAGATGAACGTGCCTACAGAAGCTTTTAACAGATGTCTCTTTTTTGAACTAGATGCTAGCATAATTTATGAAGTTAGTGGAATGTTACTTGTATTAAGTAACATATTGGATAATATTAAATTCTAGGTCTAATAAATTAAATTGCATTCTCTCTGAAACTGCTCCCCGTGGTAAACAAAACCAGCTGTTAGTCCTGTAAAAACCAGAAGATGTGTATTATTTCTCTTTTTTGGTAATAAAGGAAAAGATTTAGGAATCCAATTTTCTTGTCAGAACAAACATGTTGTATTTATTGTCTACATGTACACCATTCACTCTGGTGGAAATAGGGACCTAAAAGATACACTTTTCAAGGAAGAATAGGGCATGCCATCAGTCCATAATGTGGGCCACAGGCATCACAGTAAAAATAGCATTTACAAACTGGAAGGAAGGACAGCAACCACTGAATGGAGATCTTGACTTTCAGTTACTCTATCGAACTTAACAGTGTCTATCCTTTAAAAATGTTCTTATGTCCTTATTCTTTTCTAGAAATTTCTTGTCGAGGAGAACGGATAAGAGATTATTACCAAAAGCAGCAGGGTTATGCTGCCTGTCAAACAACTAAGAAAGTATCTCGCTTGGAATGCAGAGGCGGGTGTACTGGGGGGCAGTGCTGTGGACCTCTGAGAAGCAAGAGGCGGAAATACTCTTTCGAATGCACAGATGGATCCTCATTTGTGGATGAGGTTGAGAAGGTGGTGAAGTGCGGCTGCGCAAGATGTGCCTCCTAAGCGCGTCTCTAGAAGCTTCTATCTTCGGCGAAGGTTGTACACTTCTTGACCATGTTGGACTAATTCATGCTTCATAATGGAAATATTTGAAATATATTGTAAAATACAGAACAGACTTATTTTTATTATGATAGTAAAGACTTGTCTGCATTTGGAAAAATAATAATAAAAGACATGCTCTACTAAAGCTCCCCCTACACTGGAGAAGTGTGAAGAAAAGCCACACTTGGAGGCATTAGTGCAGCGGTGGGGACCATTGCAACACGGAGCCATCTTTGGAACATGCTAAAACTAGCAGAAGCACATATACAAGAGCGTGCTATGGGACTGTATGCTCATATGGTCTTGCCCAGAGCGTCAAACCCATGACTCCCTTCCCATCAGTTCCCAAGGACACATCGAGCACAAGTGTGTGAATGAGACTGTGAGGTAGATGAATGGAAATCCAGAATCTGTAGATAGATCCAAGGGATGAGATATATTTTGTGCAAGATCTAAAGTGTCCTGACATCTGGGTTTCATTCGGAGAGAGATGAGTGTGGAGTGCTGCGATGTATTTTATTGTCTTTGGCAAATGATAGCACATAAGCAGAAAAACAGCACATGAAAGTGTTTAGCTACCAGTTTCCAGTATTAAATTTTTGTAATATAAATGACAAAAGAGATGATAAAGAACCAATAGATTATTGATAAATAAAAAATTAGTAATATGAATTTTTGTTTCTATGAGTTCTAAATAGCCCTATACAGTATTCATTTTCAATGAGGAATATTTATTGTATTAAAGTACATTTTACTTAACGATTTAGATCATCATTTTGGACTGTTTCTCGATGCTTTAATATATATTAATTTATAATTATCCTGATATTTTTGTACATTTTCAAACTTAAAAAAAAATCAGGATTTTTTTTGGCAATAGTACTAACATAGGATGTTATTTTGTTATCTCTGGATAAGTATGTGTTGTTCTGTTAGCTGACTTGACATCGGACCACTGATGTCACTGAACTGTGGCCTCCTTCAGGACACTTGCAGACGGCTTGCAAAGTCTCAGAGTAGAAACAGCAAGTCCATCCATCTGCTACATGTCCTCACAGGAAGAAGGAACTCATCTGTAGCAATGGCCAGTAAGAAGTAAATGTTTTGCAAATTAATTAATAAACATTTCCCTGACATGCTTTGGGGGAGGGTGGGAGAAGAAAGACTGTTATGTCAAAAATTGTAATTTCTCTCCAAACAATAAAACTCCTTTATTACCTTACTGCTCCCACATTAACCTGTTTGCTGCTAAATTACAATGTAGATTTGATAATGATTTATAGTGGACTGTGCTCTTTCATTAAAATCCCAGGGTCCCCTGTGAAGATGCAGATGTTTCTTTAAAAAGAAAACACTTTTAACAATGAAATTTAGATGTGTGTGTATAATTTCGGTATGCTTTTTCTTTCTCCAGACTAATATCAGTTACATTACTGTTTGTAAATTAAAAGATAATCTACTTCACTAACAGTTTGGCCGTTTTCTTAGAAGTTGCAGGTGCTCCTTATGAACTTGACACAGTGACATGAAAAGAACAGGAAAGGCAACCTATACCTTTATGTTGCCAGAAATTGCTTTGGAATTAATATCTAAAGGCTTCATAAAAGAGATAGACAGAATAACATATTCTTTGCTAGGACAAATGCATATTAAATTAAATTATCCCACCAAAAAGAAGTATAAGATGTAATATAGCTAACACAGAAGGTCTTCTTTGAGTCTCACTGCCTTACCTTGAACCAGCAATCCAGAGCTGGCATCCACTCAGATCTAGGAAGAGCCATTGTCAAGGCAGAATATTAATACTTGGTTCCACTGTATGAGTGATTGGTCTCTTTTAAGACAATTGTGCACACACACATACACGTACACAGATATACACACCATCTTCCAGGTGTGAACATCCAATCATTTACTCATTCTTGTTGAAGATGACTTAAATATTAAATAACTATAATAAAACATTCATGTGTTCCTATGGCTTGCTTCTTCTAACAAAGGTATTGAATTATTCATTAAGCAAAGACTCATCTGCAAATATACCAGGATCTCCACTTGATATCCCTGATAAACATGAAACTTAATGGCTAGTGTTTGTGGATTGCTTATTGCACAGAAAGAGCTATGCTGTAAGTTTTATAGGTAAACTCACCATCTCTATAAATGAATGGGATTCCTGTGTCTCCTAGTTTAATCAGGTACACAAGGCTGGAAATTAAAGGAGCTGGATTGAGTAGTAGGCAGTTTACACCACTGTATTTGCTGATGATGTAGACAACAGTTTAGTCACAAATTGACTCCGCTTGGTGATTACTAAGCCTTGAAGCCTTATTTTCAGGGCTATTGATCTTGAATATTTAGGTAATCTTACTACAGATTGGACTTTTTGCTTCTGTTTTAAAGGGAAAAAAAAGACAGAATAATGGTTTTCACATGACATATTTTTATTCTTCCTGATTAGAAAGTCACAAAATAAAGTTCTATTTCTCTGACGTTTGAGCAGAGTTAATTTTGCAAGGGTCACACTTGATTTGTCATCTAGTCATGAGCTTTTAATGGAGAAAATCCCACAGCCAGATAATTATTAGAAAATCACACAAATTAAAGACAATTGTTCTTGTTAAAAATTGCTTCTCACTTATAAGCCCGTGACATAGCATTCTTTTAAATAAAAAACAATTCTAGAGCTTTGGCGACAGAATTTGATTTCTAAAAATACAAAATTTAAAGTATTACATACAATAATATACATTTGAAACCTGAAAGATGAAGTTCTTAAGCATCCATGGCCAATTACTTTTAATCCCCACATAAGTGAAACTGCATCAGGAAACTGGACATGCAATGAATTGAAGAGTGTGATCACTAAATAACCACCTCAATCTATAGGACTTGCTCTGCCCACAGACTGAAATTGTTTCTCTGCAGTAACCGAGCAACCTTTGCTTTGGAATTACCCAGAGCATTTTCTTTTATGGATGATATGCTTTGTCAGCAACATTTCTTTCAGGAGAAATGATTAAAAGACTTGAAATCAATTCAGGACATAAAGATCTTGAACTTTATGGTGTCATCTGCCTCCTCTACTGACCATTATTTCTAAAGTGATGTCTGTAAAAGTATATAAGCTATAAAAAGTATATGAAGCTTTATGTAAGGTATTACATAAAGCAGAGAAAGCTATAAAAACATAGAAGCTATTTTCCTTCTTCATCTTCTTTGTGTACTCACAAGTCACTTAACAGATGATTTCTGTTTCGTGTCTTCTATCAATTACAAGCAAAGATGGCAGCTATTTCATGTAGTACAGATAAAGCAGACCATTTCTCCCACATTATAGCTTATGCTTCATGGATATGAGACTGAAGCTAGGCTGGGTGACTGTGCTGGAAAGTTTTATGTCAGCTTGACACAAGCTGAAGTCATTTATACAAATAAAGACTCTCAATTGAGAAAATACCCCCACAATATTGCCCTGTGGGCAAGCCTGTCGTGTATTTTCTTGGTTTTTGATTGATATGGGAAGATCCAGATCACTATGGGCAGTACCACCTCTGGACTGGTGGTCCTGGGTGCTATAAGAGTGCAGACTGAAAAATCCATGGGGAGCAAGCTAGTAACCAGAGAGCCTTCATAGCTTCTGCTTCAGTCCCTGCCTCCAAATTCCTTCCCTGTCTTCCTCTGATGATGGTCTGTGAAAGATAAGGAAGTATGAGCTAAATAAACTCTTCCTACTCCAGTTGCTTTTGGTCACGGTGATTTATCACATCAGTAGCAAGCTAACCAAGACAGTAACAGATGCTACACAAAGGATCAAACTGACATATAATATGAGACTGGGCTGCACCTTTAAGGAAACAATGGCACACTAGGAAAAGTACAGCCCAGCCATGAGTGTTGCTTGTTTGATACAGTGCTTACTTAGTAAGCATAGAACCAATGGGTTTGGTCCCCATGCTCTACCTTGCTACCAATTATATGAAGAAAACAAAAGGGATATAAAGAAAGGGTTTATTTCATTTGACAGCTGCTAGTCCATCACAGAGGGAAGCCGAGGCAGGAATGTAAACAAGAACCCAAAGGCAGAACCACAGAACACTGCTTACTGGCTTGCTTTTTTATACAAGGTAGGACCACCTGCCCAAACTAGGATGGGCCTTCACACATCAGCTATTAATAGTGACCTACAGGATTTCCTACAGGCCACTCTTTGGGAAACATTGTTCAACTGAAGTTCTCTCTTACCAGATGACTTTCACCTGTGTCAAGTTGACAAAAAGCAAAGGAGCATTTTCATCGTTGATAAAAAACACTCTTTGTGGTACAAACCTGCCATTACAGCTCTCCATCACTATAAGCAGGGTGATTGGAAGTTCAAGGTCATCTTTGACTATATTAAAAAAAAATACAACAGGAACTTTCAGTCACATAAGTGGAATGGTTCTCTGAGTAAATCACTTTAGACCCTGTCACGGAGGATAAAGCAGAGAGGAGAATGGAAGTGATGAAAGTTTTCGTGGAGACTGGAGCAGGTTATCCAAGGAAAGCAGTGTGGCCGTAAATCTACGAGGGAAGGAACTTAGCATTGTCAAGGAAGTGAAGGAATCTGGTGGGTCCTACATGAAACATGCATTGGTTCTACATGTATACAATTCAATAGTGGCTATTTACCGTGTTTCTTAACGTTCAGCATGCTTTCTACTATTGAGTGCCTATTAGCAATGGGTTTTCCAAATGGCAAATGAAAGATATTTCCCATTTAAAATAACAGCTAATTAGCCATGCAAAGGCAGCTTCCTGTAATTTCCAAAAGAAATTCCTCTGAAAAGAGTATCTGACAGTAACATCAAAATCTAGGGATATTATTCTCCAAATCTCACAAGCTGAAAGGCCAGTGTCACTGAATTGAAATAGCTGCTAACAAATCTGAGCTGAAATGCATTCTTCCTTTCTGATCATACCAAGGCCAGACACTTAAGAAATAAGTCAAATAGAAATCTAGCAGAAAATTCCTATGCACTAAAAAATGTTAATGAAAATCTAGACTTTAGTTAAACCATAGTGATTGCATTGAGCTGAAAATATCTTGAAAGGTCAATGATGATGACTTAAAAAAACCGAGGCTTTTATCTTGTAGCCTGCTATGCAGTCTATTGAATAAAACTATATATCTCTCTGGAGCATGGGAAAGTATCTTTAATTCCCACTATATAGAGAATGACACCCAATTGTTTTATTCAGCTACACCAGATTCCTCAGAAAGAGGTACTATAGTCATCTCTCTAAAGCTATTTTTATGGTGACAAATGACAACAAAGAATATTTAAAAGGAAATCAATCGTGGACTATGGGATGTTGACATAGGAAGAGGCAAAAGTGTTCCCTATTCAGGTTGTAGTTGTAGCCAAGAAAATGGGTGGACAAATTCAGAAACATATCAGAAAGCACTTGAGCAGAAGAGTAGCATCTGACTTCATATAATGCTTATATTTTCAGAGGGAAAATTTCATCCCGGAATAGAGAGGATAATGGGGCAATTCTAACACAGGCAGACATGACTGGTTAGCCATGTGTTAGGGACAACAGAAGATGGTCAGAGTAGCACCTGGAAAATATGATGGGATCATAGGTTCGCCATTTGGTGGGTCAGTATGCATTGACTTTGGATAACCTTAGATACAGCCCAGGAGAGTACATGTGCTCTGAAGAGAATTTTTATGTCAACAATGGAAGGACAGGATGGAATCTGATTAACCAAGAAACTACTTGGTTTTGAATAGGACAGGAGAAATCTGGGATGATGAATCAAGATGCCTGAGAAAAAGGAACCAGGAAATACCCAGAGAGGAGAGGTACTTATGCATAGTAGCTCTTACCTGGAAGGCCTTCTCCATTGGCTTCCTCTTCCTACCACAAAGGGAGAAAGGAGAGCACTTAGAAGTTCAACCATTGTCCAGAAGGATGGAACACTGCCCACTCACATTTCAAATAAGCATTGTCTTTGCAGCAATGTGTGGATGGGGAAAGTTGGATACAAATGAAAATAAAAATTGAAAAGCACATACAAAGATAGGGGACTGGCAAAAGAGCCACAGACACAATTATCTATGAGACGTGCTGTCATTAATCTTACTCTACCTTGGAGACTTATCTAGCATTTTCTTTTTTGTCTGCATAGATGGTGACTATGAGATTAAGTGACTTGCCCAAGGTCACACACTC